AGACTTGTGTAACTTAAGCATAGACATGAGAGTCGATGTGCCAATCAGTGATATTTAAATCTGCTCCATAAAACCAAACTAAGTTTCGTGAACATGTGGCACGTTGTTTTGACATTCTCGAGTTAAAACAGACTAAAACAAACCACTGAGTTCTTATACGCACCCTTCAGCGGAAAGTCGTGTTACGATTATCGCGGTGTATGAAAACGTGGTTATGAACGCCATTTCTGCCAATCGTTCTCCATAGTACTTTATAATTAGGCCGCCTTACAGAATATGTGGAAGTGTTTGCATTTTGCTTGAAGAAACAGTGTTTGGAGATGCCTCGTGGATATGAAAATACGTTACCTCTGATTTCATAATTGTCTGAGTTTTCGAATAAGCCACGAGTTTACCAATTTCATACAAAGAAACGTACTTGGGCATCAAAACAGAGGCGTTTACCTCTGAATATACTCCAGTTTTTCTTCCCAGAGCGAAAAGATAATGTGGCCAGAAACAATTTATTAAAAATACCTCAGCCTCGGCATTCACATTGTTAAACTTAACCTTACTGCACTCACGAATATTTGAAACTGTAGCTCTTGAAAAATAAAGTCTGACGTTATGTTCTTGTTGTGGCGAGCTACGATGCCTTAACGCACCTAATTAGGTAATAGGACCAACAGCATCAGGATCATTTGATAACAACACCTCCGAAATGTAGGAAACAGAAGTTAGTTGCTCAACAACTTAAAACAATCTGAAACCCATTGCACCACCACAAAAGGAAGACAAAAACGAACAGTCAGTATGAGGAAAGTTCAAATCCCCGAACAGATATATGTCAATGGCAAAACACTATTTAGAAGTCTCAGATAGACTTCTCGTAACAGGTTCCCCAATGAAGGACATGAATCTGGTACACGTCATGAAGCGCCTAGCAATATTTAGACAAGAGTAAAGAAAAAGCAACACCTACGATTTCGCGCACGAGAAAGTATGCACAAGGGCAGATACAATGTTTTTATTAACGGCAACCAAGACACAACCAACATTACCACAACGTTTTACAGTTCGATCACGCCCGAGCGTGTTATCCTGCTTGTCGTCATGGCGAACTATTTGTAGATATTTTGAAATTCAGTGATGTTTCTTTATGACCAGCCCAACACTGCGACATTCGTCAAGAAAAGGCTCGACTTGACCGCGTTTAGGATAAAGACAGCTTATGTTAGTAAACGATTTGTTAGTATTGTTAGTAAACAAGAAATTGGATAAGATAACACCGTCGAGCGAGGCTTATTCAGATGTAAACGTTTCTTCTGTCGCTATCCAGTGCAGGTAATGGCTGTGCCAGGTGTCTTGCAACATGAATAAGTTTCAGTTACCAAGCGCAGCTTATCGACAAATGGGCAGGTTTGTCCTGCAAAAGCTACCAAAGTTCTTATTGCCACTAGTGTTGAAGTTGAAAAATGTTTGCGAACTGCAAACTCCGATTCTTGAATTTTTGTGCGCTGAAAGTTAGATTGCTCCTTTATGCTGAAAAATATTTTAACTAAATTGGTATGTGCTGGTTTTGTTTTTGTTGTGCCGATTTCCGACATGAGACAAGTGAAATATGGCCCCAAGAAAAAGAAACTGAAAAAGATTTGGCAACTGTTTGCTTTTCTGAAAAGCGACTTCATCTAAACACTTACATCGTGCAGGCCCGTTTGGCTTCAGTGGAATGTCTTGCCAAGATCTCGGTCTTCCACAACCTTCGTAGCCTCAACGCATTCTGGCCAGAGGGTGACCGCGAAGTCATTAGTTTGGTATTTAAATATGTCCTTGAAAAGTTCCCAGATCTAGAAGAACGGGGCCTGGCCCGATGCGATGGTGTGGTGCTCTCCACTCTCGTAAACCTGTGACCGAACATCCAGGTTATCCAGCTTGAAGATTGCGCAGTGTCAGCGGGGGACCTCAAACTGAATGTCCGTCCATTGCCTCACCTGCGATGTCTCGAGATTAGCGGGAAGACTCAGTGACAACTGTATGCTTACTTTTTCTCTCACTCGCGAAACCCTGGGCGCAGCACGCTTCAACAGCTTCGGCATGTGCTTCGAATGTATGCACTACTGCGTTCAATACGGCCCAGTCCTGCCTTTTTCATGTCTAGAATACCTGACCCTGTACACGAGTCGCACACTGCACGAGTAGCAACTAGAACCCAAAAAAACTCCACAATGTGCTCAAGGCCTTGCCCGTGCTCCGTCACCTCGACAGTGACAGCTACAATTTACGAGTGTTCTTTGAGAACAACTGCGTTCCACGTGGTCGGTTGTGCCTGTCCTGTACAGGATGCGTCTTCTGCGCGGTACACAATCCAAAGCTATCAAGCATCTTGAAACCGTGACCATCTTCAGCGACTTTCCAATAAAGTGAGGCGTGCAACACATCATCATTGTGCGCAATACCAATTGTGTCAGGTGTTCACACATGTAGCTATAACGATCATCATTGTAACTGTGTTTTGATGTGCACTGTACAAGAATGTCCCTTTTTTGTCATTTGTCCATAAATTCCCCGGACCTATATATGCACTACATATCTGTGCTGCATGAACAGGACCTCTCAACGACTCTACCTGGAACTAACTGTAGTATCGCGCTACGCAGTGATATCTCTCTATTCGGCACCACGTGAGACTCACCTGATATTGTTGCAACCCTCTATGAGCCAACTTTTCACAGTATTTGAGTATATTCTACAGCAAATCACAGGTCTACGAAGGGCGAAACACGCGGTGCAAACGCTTGTTCCACTTGTGTCGTGTTGTTTCGCCGCACGCCATCCGTACGGCTGAACTAAGTGTCACAACTGGTCCAGAATGCTAGCTTCCCGAATCTGATCATCATTTCACAATAAAGAAGACGTGCTCTAGAAAAGCGAGCAAGTTGTGGAGTTACTTGCTTCAAGAATATAATATGAAAATAATTGATTTAGCCAGCTGGGTTTTTACGTCGTAAAGTTTATTATTTATTGACAAAAACTAGTGTCATGTTCCAGAAGACATAAATGAGCACCTGCAGTGTATCCAATGTGCAGAAGGCGCTGGCTTGTGTCGTATGTAAATGTTAAGCTCCACAGTGTGCTAAAGGCTCCACAATGTGCTAAAGGCCTTGTCCGTGCTCCGTCACTTAGAAAGTGACAGCTACGATTTACGAGTCTTCTTTGAGAACTACTGCGTTTCACGTGGTCGGTTGTGCCTGTCCTGGACAGGATGCGTCTGCTGCGCGGTACACAATTTAAAGCTAGCAAGCATCTTAAAACCATGACCACCCCCAGTGACCTTCTATTCAAGTAAGGCATGCCACACATATACATGGTGCGCAATCCCCATTGTGTCAGCTATTCACACATGTAGCTATGACAACCATATTTGAAATTGTGTTTTGATGTGCACTGTTAAAGGTTTATTTTTTGTCATTTGTCCATAAATGCCCTGAACATATATGTGCACTCCATATTAGTGCTACATCAACAGGACCTCTCCACTGCTCTACCTGAAACTAACTGTAGTATCGCGCTACGCAATGATATATCTCTATTAGGCACCCCGTGAGACTCACCTGATATGTTTGCAGCCTTCCATGTGCCAACTTTTCACAACATTTGAGTATAGTCTATAGCAAATCATAAGCCTTTGAAGGGTCAAACACGCGGGGCTAGCACTTGTTCCACATGTGTCGTGTTTTGCCGTACGCGATCCTTACGGCTGAAAAAAGCATCACAACTGGCACCGAATGCTAACTTTCGGAATCTGATCATCATTTTACAATTGAAGTTAGGCGTGTTCTGGAAAAGCGAGAAAGTTGTGAAGTTACGTGCTTCATGAATACATCATGCAAATAAATGTTTTAGCCAGCGCTATTTTTACGGCATACAATTGAATAATCTATTGACGGAAACATCTATGTGTCATAATTTAGAAGACACGAATGAGCACCTGCAGTGTATCCATTGTGTTTGTGTCTGTGTTTTGCTGGTCGGTGCTGCAGTGAATTTCTCAAACGTGCAGTACGAAAAACGAGTATTTTTTATCATTGTTAAGCTCTTTTCTTTGTTTTGCTGGTCGGTGCTGCAGTGACTTTCGCAAAGGTACAGTAAGAAAAACGAGTATTTTTTGATCACTTGCGTCAGATAACTAAAATGGTCGTCTCGCTCACTCACGTTTTGTTTCTTGGAACGCCGTCTCTCGCCACTTTCGCATCAAGAACGCTGCGCCACGCTTATAGCGCACATGCCATTTATGACTTCGAAGTGCTGGGACTTCAGCGACAATGCTAGAACAGCATGCGAGGTTGCTCAAAATTACAGTTGTATTGAAAGTCATTACAATCCTATCAGATTGTGAACTAAAAAATGAATTAATGTAATCCTTCTAAACGAAACTAGAAGACAACACAAATCTGCGGAAAAACCTCATGCATGTTCTTGCTCATTTATTTGAAATTCATGCGCTCCCTGTTCAACACTTAGAATAACTCGAATAAATCGTACGAAGAACTGAGGTAAATCCTATGGTATCTATTTGTTGGTCCATGTACATACGTGCCCATTTGTATACTGTACCTAACAGAAAACACTGGTCCCAATAACGTAGCCCCCATTGGCAAAGTAAGTCCATTTGTAAGAAAGTTTTTAGGGCAGATAGTGCCTTGGCCGAGCAACGTAGCTGGTTAGGCCAGTGCAGCATCGAGTTCCGTGTGAAGGAATGTAAAAATGGCTGCATGGAAACGTCGGAAAGGTTCGCATGGAGCTGGTGCATGAGGACAAGCCATGAGCTCATTAAATGAAGCGACTTTCTACTAAGAGGGTTTGAATGAAGTTCATCATGAAAGGTGTGACGTTCAGTGTGGTGCTGGTTATTTCTTTATTTTTATTTTGACACGCCCTGAATTGATGCCTCGTCCTAGGAAGAAGGAAATGCACAGTGGTCAAACGCTACCCGATAGGTACACAAAAAAACGACGAACTGCGATTCCTTGGTTCTTTTTGATTACCAACCTTTCGAACTCCATAGAGCGGATCGATAAATGTGTTTTACATCTTCCGTAGTATAACCTTATTTACTGCTGTCGCGGGACGTTGCATCAGGTGTTGTCCCGTACTGCCAGAATTCCGTGTCTAGGGTCGCTGGCTCCTCTTCGTGGTTTGGCACAGATGGCCCGTAACCTGCAACTTTCAAATATAGATGGTTTGCATCATAAGAGGTGACTTTTTCGCTGGTAGACTAATGATGACATAAATGCGAACTGTAAGCTATGTGACGGCAAACTCACTTTGAAATGCTGTGGTCAGCCGGGTGGCTGGTTCTCCTATAAGAAATTCATAACGTTATGGCTTCAAACGTGTATGGGCCGAATGCCTTGGCGTAGAAACGTGAAAGAGAAGACCACCCGCTGAAAAGTTCAACACGTGATGCCTTATGCTCAATGTAATCTTACACTCCGAACTTATTTCCACCATTTTCGTAAGATTTTCTGATTTTATTTCAGTGTCTTTAAAATTTACCCACAGAAACATACCACTTTGTACGTTAATTAGAAAAGCAAAAGTGACACCTGTACGCATCTGTGGAGCATTCTGAACATAAAACGTCGAGACTACAGTTCGCACTCACCTACCGGCGTTTATTGCGCTTGAGCCGCGGAAGTTGATGGTTTCTGGGAGTGCACGACAATGACGTCATAGACGAGGCTTATAGCTCCATCCTTTGAAACGGAGGCTTCACGCAGAGCACTTCTCCAGGTATCCCAAAAATGAGCCCGCTTTTCCTCCGGGACCCTGGAATCCAGCTTGAAGAACGGGATGTATGCACCTGCGTAAAAGCAGATACATATTTACCAGAAAAAACAATGGCGCATTCCATGGCTGCCTCGATGTTTTTTTTTTCAAAGTGCTATAACAAATATAGTGAAACCATATGTTTCTTCAGTGGGATGACTGGTGCGCTACAACGTCACTGAGGTTTAGTAGATGAGATATAACTGCTTCCACTCGCGAAGTGAGGCCAGATGTGATGAAGATGCTCCCTTCAATGAACCACTTCTTTATGGGGTGCGTAACAGATCGACCAGTCTGATTGACGCACACGTTACACAGGAAAGAGCAATCGTGTAAACCGCTCCCTTACAACAATTTGCAAAGCAACCTGCTTACCTCCAAATACGTTTTGTTTTTTGTTAAATGTGTAAACGCGTGCCACTATGTGAACTAGACAAAAAAAGAAGGCAGTAGTCAGGTGAAGAAAGAATCTTCGGATCCAAAATTCGTAAGCAGGGCTGGGTGCTGGGGGTGACATTTTGACAAGCGCCCTTACCTTACTCAACTTTGCAAGCAAGCCTTGAACAAGGTAACAGCTCTTGTCGAAACGTGAACAGTGCACTCCCTGTATACGAGATTTATATGCACAGTGAAACAAATGCATGCGGTTACCCTCACGAGCTGCTTATATGAGAAGCCTCAGTTTACGCATTCTCATTTTTTAGGATTTCTTGAGCCAATATTCTCTACCTCTTCAAATCATTTAAAAGATGCACGATTCGCCCTTAAGAAATGTGAAAAGATGAAAGATTTTAAGAAACAGGAAGGTATAGTACTACAAACAACATAAAGAAGACTGATTGATATGATTGATCTGTGGGGTTTAACGTCCCGAAACTACCATATGGTTTTTGAGAGGCGCCGAAGTTGAGGGCTTTTTCGTCCACCAGGGGTTCTTCAACGTGCGCCCAAAACGGAGAACACGTGCCTATCGCATTCTCGCCTCCATCGAAAATGCATTCGCCGCAGCCGGGTTTTGATTCGGCGACCTGCGGGTCAGCAGCCGAGTACCTTGACCACTGGACCACCGCAGTGGGGCACTAACATCAAGAACAAAAAATTAGCAAGTGCGCTGAGCAAGACGCGGTACATCTGTCTGTAAAATGTCAATTGGGAATGTTCACGTTACGAAAATGCAACTACAATGAATATTATCAGACCATGTTAAAAGTGTGTTGGCCTGTTATGTGATAGCACAATATAGCTGTAATAATTTACGTATGAGACGTCATGTTTATTGCACTTCCACGTTTAATGGACGTATACTCTACCCCATAATGTGAATGGCGAACACCAACGCCCATACTCATTTGGTAGAGAATCGGAGGCGTTATTCTAAGGTTGAAGGTTTCGTCCTTTCCAGCGGCAAGTTATGTTTCTGACCGCAGTTGCTTAAAATTTGTATAATTATTACTACTAACAAAATCCTTGATACTTTCTTTATTGTCTATGCATGTTGGGTCTCATTAGCGGATCAAAGAAACTTGGAGCGTTGATATCTATCTATCTATCTATCTATCTATCTATCTATCTATCTATCTATCTATCTATCTATCTATCTATCTATCTATCTATCTATCTATCTATCTATCTATCTATCTATCTATCTATCTATCTATCTATCTATCTATCTATCTATCTATCTATCTATCTATCTATCTATCTATCTATCTATCTATCTATCTATCTATCTATCTATCTATCTATCTATCTATCTATCTATCTATCTATCTATCTATCTATCTATCTATCTATCTACTATCTATCTATCTATCTATCTATCTATCTATCTATCTATCTATCTATCTATCTATCTATCTGTCTGTCTATCTATCTATCTATCTATCTATCTATCTATCTATCTATCTATCTATCTATCTATCTATCTATCTATAGTTTCTATCCGTCTTTCTTTTTTCTTTCATTCTTTCTATAGCCACCGACTACTGAGTACTGTCGGGACCGCCTCCTTCATTTGGTGTAGAATAAAATTTGCATGGGAGAGCAAGATGGTCTGAATATGACTGTCATGTGATGGAATGAATATTGTAAACTATACACACGTGGTGAAATCAGTTTTTCCAGAGATGTGTGGCAGGTATTTGATTTGATTGATATGTGGGGTTTAACGTCCCAAAACCACCAAATGATTATGAGAGACGCCGTAGTGGAGGGCTCCGGAAATTTCGACCACGTGGCGTTCTTTAACGTGCACCCAAACCTGAGCACACGAGCCTAAAACATTTCCGCCTCCATCGGAAATGCAGCCACCGCAGCCGGGATACGAACCCATTTGTGGCAGGTATACTCGTATACCAGCTGCCACGTTATGATTGTGTGCGCCATAGCGATCGACAGTTAATTGTACCTAGAAATGGCGGGAATGAACATTTTGGCATTGCTATTTTAAGCGCTAGCCAAACTGGCAAACATATTGGGGGCTATCAAAAAAGGGATATAAATAAAACCTTACATCCCTGCGTTCTAGCGATCAATACGTTTTCGATAATAGACATTGGTGGTTTAAATGCTAGGACACTAAGCTGAAAAAGAAGGCATAGGAGCTGCACAAGTGTGAAACGTGATTATAAGCGGAACTAGAACACCCAGCGATTGGCGAACGAAGAGCTCCCACTTCTACATTCCCCAAAGCGTCAGCGACACCAACAGTTTAGGTTCTATAGCCACGAGTGTAACTTTGGTAGTGCCTACCAAAGTTACAAGCTCAACTGCGACACGCTCAACTGCGACACGTGTCCGACTTTTTGTTGTGCTTCATCGATTTTGTGTTTGCTACAGCAGTTTAGATACGCGTTTTTTTTAAATGTCCTTAGTGGAGAAACACTGCGCATTCACACACCCACTCCTCACCCAGGTACAAAACACGTAAACAGTTGTGTGTGTGTGTGTGTGTGTGTGTGTGTGCGTGCGTGTGTGTGTGTGAATGCGTCATGTCTTTGCACTGGAATGTTAGTTATAAAAAGGAGCAACCAACTAGCACAACAAAAGTTATTTGTTCTACAGATATGCGTCGCCCGCTGCGAGTTTTGTAACTTCGTCTGCCCCATCGGATGTAGACACGTAACGACTCAGCTCCGCTCAGAAGGACAAGCGGAGCAGAGGAAAGCGGATTTTACCAAAAGTGTGAGGCTAGGGCACTCTCTGTACATTTCTTCCGGAGTCAGCCGCGTGGCTCCAAAATGTTTCGGCGATAATAGGTCAAGTATGGATATTACCTTTTCGCCATTTCTGCTAATGATATTACTTCACACAATATTCATTTTTTTCATACGTGTTTGAGCGTAGCTCCCCATGTTACGGCATGCAGTCAGCACTTTACTGTAAGCATGTCTACTCCCCATGAGGCGGCAAGGGACTGCCAGGACCCCTATAGTGCTCTGCACTTAAAGGCAACATTGCTAGCGTTAAAGAGATGAATATTATATGTAAACTATGTGACTGATGACCTTATATAGAAATCAGTATAAGACGAAAGTGAAACGTGTTCTTACAGAGGTATTTCAGCGCTTATTGTGCAATCTTTTGGGAACTGCAGCAAGTTGCAAAGTCAAATCAAAACAGCAAGCAACTCAAAACTAGCAGCGTGCACCTCAAGCAGAAAGCGCGTACGAAATGAGCATACACAGGACTAACGTGATCAACAACAGTCTCAGATCGACACTTAAGGCGCGCTATTCAAACAGAAATAAAGACGCATAAAACGAACGCACAAGTACACACAGGAGAAGTGCGAACAACTGTCACAATTCTTGTTGCGTCGCGTGTCAGCAGCGCGCTTCTTTCGTAAAGCGTGGCCTTGGTAGCTTGCTAAGTGACCTTCGTCCTCTCTCGAATTACGAGTCTGATAAGCACGCATGCAGGAGCAGCGCCGTGTCACCTGTAGGCAGACAGGTATTAAGTGCCTTCTTTCTTTTCCTCATGAACTACTAACCAACCAACCAACTAGGCTCCGTAAATATGGGGATACGTAGAGGTGACGACCTTTAGAGGGCTCAACATGGGTCTGTCGTGGCATCTCACCACTGATCACAAAAACACGTTAAAGCTTTTAACGCGATAGCTTTAGAGAGCTCATGTCGCAGAAATCCCGCCGCCGGCGTCGGTCCCGTTGGTTGAGAGCGAAAAATTGTCTGTGCGTCTGCGACCGAAAAAGCAAGTTACAGAGATCGCCATGGCAGACCGCTAGTTGTCCACGAGTGTGCGCGCGATCATACTGAAAAGGCCGCACATTCGAAGAAAAAAAAATTGGTTCCATATCTGCATGTTAGTTCGCAAAAGTCGAAAGATGATAGTCTTGCGTGCGGAGAGAGGGGACGAAAGATTCATTTGATGTTCTGCCGGAGAAAATAGGTTAATGGTATTCTGGAGGCGCTGCGTTGGAGTGCCTCGAGCGTGCAGCGGAGGCGAACGAACGCGTCAAGTCACGTTACACGTGAAACATGAGCGCTATCTGGCAGTTTTATTGAAAACGAGGAGTGCGGCCCTGAGAAGGGCGGGCGCGCCCATCTCAGAGGTGATAAGGTGTAGAACGCAAGGTGACGGGTATGTGCCACCACCGTGTCGTCTTAGCAAAGCGTTGGAAACACTCGTCTTTTCGTGCAAGTGTGGCATGGTCAGCACAGCGTGATAAACGCTGCGGTCCTTAGAATTACTATTGTATGCCTTTTTTAGTAAAAGACGCAAATGCAGAATATATACGTGTTGTTATGGTGCCTCAGATATGCGCAATAATTGCTGTTTAGTTGACAATCGCACAAGTATGAACGCTCAAGCTTGAGCGACATTGGTGGGCGCTGCGCATGGGGTCGGCCGTTTTGGGTATCGGCTGGTGCCGTTTAGAGGACCCGGTACCATGAAAAGTGGTAAACAGAAAAATGTTCAGACAGATAGATAAACCAAAACTTTTGCGTCGAAGGTCCCCAAGCAAGACTATCGTCTTTAAAAAAACTGCTGATGGTTCACTCGCACTGGACGGATTCTTTAATGTTTGCGGCGTTGAATTCGAGAGGCAATAAGCTCTTCTATTGAACTGATTCCATGGTTACTTAAAAAAGTGTTCCAGGGCCCCTTAAAGAATTTTGTTCGACAGGTGTCAGGACGAAAACGAGCCCAATCAGCAATAATAGTGTGCGCTGGTCCAATGTACTGTGCGCGTGTTTGTGTGCGCCCGTGTGTGTGTAACAAAACATATGAATAAGTATGCATTTAGCGGTTGAAGGGCGCACTAGGGGCCGGATTCCGCTATCGCGTTGAACTCCTAGAGGCGTAGCCTAAGGGTTCCCAAATATGAAAGCTCGAAGGACTGCCAAACGTGTATGATGCATATGAATTGCTTGCCTTTAACACTGCAGACAACGTACAATCTGCGGAATAGAGGTTAGTGCCGTGCGCTGAGAATCGAGGAATTGCTGGTTCGATTGCGTGCGACAGGAGACTGCCTTCTGTATTTTTTTAGCAATCTATTAGTACATAATTTTTATTGTCACTTACATGACTTACAGCCCAATCAGCAATAATAGTGTGCGCTGGTCCAATGTACTGTGCGCGTGTTTGTGTGCGCCCGTGTGTGTGTAACAAAACATATGAATAAGTATGCATTTAGCGGTTGAAGGGCGCACTAGGGGCCGGATTCCGCTATCTCGTTGAACTCCTAGAGGCGTAGCTTAAGGGTTCCCAAATTTGAAAGCTCGAAGGACTGCCAAACGTGTATGATGCATATGAATTGCTTGCCTTTAACACTGCAGACAACGTACAATCTGCGGAATAGAGGTTAGTGCCGTGCGCTGAAAATCGAGGAATTGCTGGTTTGATTGCGTGCGACAGGAGACTGCCTTCTGTATTTTTTCTTAGCAATCTATTAGAACATAATTTTTATTGTCACTTACATGACTGAAGTACGTCAGCGCAACCGTGGTCGACGCCGGCGTAAAACACTTTTGTGTTGAAAAGTTAGTAGTGGCTTAGCTCAGCTATGCTTGGACATAGCTATAGCGTAAGATAAGGTTTCGCTGAGTATTTATAGCTTCTCTTGTTGTCTAAGATGAGCTTATCTTGCTTACTGCTAGACTGATGGATGGACAAAAAGACAGACAGACGGATTAGCGAGCGAGCTATAGCTCAAGCGAGTCAAACGCCGGCTGTGCACTGTGGGACGTCACATCTCCTTGCACGTTTGAAGAACTGCTCAGTGTAAGCCTGTGCAAGCTGCTCAAGTTCACCCAGTTTTGATTAAGCAATTTGAATTCGAGCAGTAATCTAACTCAAGCAGTTATTCGGACAGCCAAGTATTCAACCACAGCCATAGCAGGACTTGAAACTGCTTTTCAAACAGACGCCGCGTAGGCGCAACATTGGTGCAGCATCAGTGTGGCTGAAGGGCTAGTTATCTAATTTAATAACAAAACTGTAAAGATTGCTTATGCACGCCTACAATACCGGCCTCGCGTCGTTGTAATCCAAATTGTTGTTACAGTTACAGTGCTTGCACTGCTTTTATAGCAGTCTTATAAAAATTACCTACGTATCCTTTTATTCAGCAATCATATTCAAAAGTTGCCCGTGTTTGCAAGAATAAGCCAAGGAATGTTACATGTGAACTTCATATAAAAACATAATGTGCAAATTGTTTAGATAAAGCAGACGCCTGTGCTCTAGGGTGAGTGCTCGTGACAGGTCAAACAATAAGTTACCCTTTATTCGCTGGTGTGCTAAATGTGCCGCGTAAGCACACGATTTTCACAAGTCTACTTCACTCACAAAGACACGTGAATCTATATCGTAACGTTTGGCTAAAAGCAAAAAGAAATGCTGCAATGCAGCTGTTCGCTCTCAGCCTCGGATGGAAACCATTCACACAATGTTTGGTACCTGCCGTATTTTTTCCCTCTTGGCTTCAAAATCGAAACATTTTCTAGGTGACTGTAGAAATTCCGTATGAATAAGTAATTGTTCAGTCGGGCTGTAGAAACACGTGCAGCATGACGTTCACATAACACGGATCTCTCTTGATTTGAACCGTAGGAATATTTCGATGGAATTACGTGACCTTGTGAGTAGGTTAAGCTATATGTGGTGTTTATAAAGGTAGGCTATGTTGGTCAAACTTGTGATGGTAGAACATTTTCTGCACACTTTGTTTTATTCGAATATGCCTGCTTATAAATTAGTGTGTAGTAGTTTTGCTGAAGTGCGCGAAATTGCGAAAATTGATGTGAAGCAGGATTCGCACGAGCAATTCAGGCTTGTGCAGCAGCTCCGTAAGCTCACCGAGGCAGGCGTCTGCGCTTGAGAACGTCCATACGCTTGAGTAAGTGTGGCACGCGACCAGTTCTAGGCCAGCCGCCTTCACAGCGCTTTTCTCCAGGTCACCGAGCTTCTTCTCGTCTACCGGTTCGTTGAAGCAATACCGCTCGGCAAACATTGACGAGAGGTCCTGTTCATGTTGGAAGAAAGAAACGACAGCAAGGGCTGACGTTGATTCTTATGTTGCTTTGTCGACTGGCGGTACGCGTACGCAAGTTCTCACTTTCTGACTACAATAAGGTTTTTATGATTTTTAAAGGCAATATAGGGAGCACATAAAGGTATAGTCAGCTAACGTAGAACAACATTGTATATGCGACTAGCTCTTGGGTACTAGTGTACTCAGCCAGTCTTGATCTTGGCATTCAATAGTAAAACAGGATAGTGTAATTGGTATTCATGAAAATTGCCTTCTCTAGTGCTAGCCCAACTTCAGTGCCCGGAGTATGCCTCAATCATGAGGCTCTGTGCACGCTAAATTGATTGTTTGAAACTATATTATAAAGCCTACTCGAAGTACAATTGCGAAGTGGCCTATAAGGCAGATTATTTCTGCGAGTCAACGAAAAGCCGACTGCGCTCCCATCAGGCAAAACGCGAATCTACTCAGCTGCTGACTTAGTTGATGCTTTTCATTATGATTATGATGGTGATTGAATATGTTGAAGTTTCTAAAGGGCGGACTTTTTATCAATCACTTGTTGCTCACTTCACAAGTTCTGACGCCTCGCGTGACTCCACGATCTAACCAAACAATAAAGGAGACTTCTCACTACATGAAATTCATAGTGTTCTTTTTTAAGCAGTTTTACGAATTCACATAGATTTGTGGTAGAACGCCTATATGCTACGCAGAAGGTTTCCGAAAGCCTTGCTTAGTCTCGCAAACAACGCTAATGTTTTGCACACAATCATACTGAAACTTCATTGAAAGGTGTTCTTTAGTGTTGTTGCGTTAAAGAAGAATCGTTCTTGGAATAAGAAATTTGGTCTGCGTTTCAGTATCCGAATAGTTATATCCACTATCGCATATCTACACATCAAAGTCTTTACAGCAACATTTAAACTACAAATATGTCGGTATGGCACTCGCCAAGCAAGCTTTTCTTGGAATCTTGATAATGATAATATTTGTTCATATGCACTCCGGACATTATGCCTTCCAAAAGAAACAAAAACTTAACACTGCTCCGACATATTTTAAAGTAACCTACTGCACTGCCATTGTGCGGCCAAGGCTACAGTACACGTGCACCAGGCGTACCGGGCGCGCGAGATCTTTGCACTAGGCGTAACAATGGCGATCTTGAGCGTATTAAAAACAAGCTCTATGATGCATGTTCAACAAACTGGACTCATTCGCAGATTTATTACAAGCCAGTAACATCTCCTTATTACAAGTACCAAGACAAAAGCTGGATTAGACTTTTAATCAATATTTAAGTAAAGTCACAGCATCGCCGGAACGACGAAGGAATGAATGCGACAGCAACAACTTGGAAGGTCATGCGCAAAATAAAAAGCAGATTGGAACGTGCGCGCGTTTTTCACGCCCAAATTACGCACCAAACGTATTTACAGGTACAGATGTACGCGGATAAGTGTCTCAGTTGTTCCTTTGCTCTTTCTGAAAGCGCCCACTTTTTGCAAACGGAGACTGCAATAATTGCAGTGACTTTTGTGCAGCCGGCAACTACAACAATCGTTGCAGGTAAAGCCTGAGGCCAGCCATGACGTACCAGCGTCCCTTCCTCGGCACCGGAGATAAGGACGTGCGAGGGAGTGTCACTGCCCTCCTCTAAGAGGGACAAAGTACGCGTGGAAAATTAAAGCGCACACACCCGCGTGATGAGGCAACGCGTGCTCATTGCTTTATCTAGCTTGTAATGCTGAAAACACGATAGTTACCCCCGAGATGTCCGTGAGCATCCGTAAGTGGTAGATATAAATACCTTGCCATTTGATTGGTGAAGAACAGTCTCCTCAGGGGCTCATTCTGCTTCTGGTCACTGACGCGTGCGGACGCAAGATGGCTGGCTCCCAAAGAGCTGTGACTGTGGTCGCCTACAGCCGTGGTACCCCGTCTCTTTCTGTGCCTAAGTGCTACAGAATTGTGCTGCCCACTGTCACAAAAGTGATGCTAAGAAGCATGCAGTTGTACTGCACTGCGATATTTTAAGAACACCGTATCCCATCGAGAGTTTTCAAAAGCCTTTGCAAGACGCCTATGCCATCACGAATGTGGCTTTTATCGACACCTACAAGATGTCACACGTCTGGCTCGTCAACCTATGGACAAACGAAGCCAAAAAGAAGCTTGGTTGTGGAGGACCAGCTATGCATTGCTATTGACACTAACAGATAAGAAATGCATCTGAAGTTACTGGGTGGCTTTGAATGCGACTAACCATTACATTCGTAGGCATTTCAGTGAATATCGTGAAGTAAAAGAAGTGCCTAGTGACAGGTGAAGAGTGGAAGGCTTTGAGGGTGCCGATTCTCTGACAAAGTTTGTGAAGCTGCTCTCGAAAGAATGCGTTTTTATGGACGACATACTGCATCAGATACTTCTTGGCAGTGACACCGCTCTTATTGTCGCGCCAGGTTGAGTACCACTGTGCCTTCGCTGAAAACACACGGGCCATATCCGACGCAACTGCGGGGTTCTAAGATGCACTGAATGTCATGCTTACAGCCACTCTTAGAGGCTTGCACTCGAAGCGACGCCAGAGCAGTGGGAAAACCTGCAGCTTAAGACCAAAGTGAACTTATCATGAATGAGGAAGAGGCCCAACAGGCGGCGGCCCTCGTGACATCTTTAAATAAATAAAACGCTCAAGGTAATCTGAAGGACGGCAGCGTCTCTGGGCATCAAGCGGCAACGGTGGTCGAGCGGGAGGCAGCACAGGCCAAGAGCCACGGACAACGAATGCGGACGGCGTTGATTCGGAGCACTCGGGAGTCACACTCCATAAAATCTTCAAGAAAGCCCCAGATCTCACGATCACTACTTTCAATGCAAAACGCACTTCCTTGGGAGTGGCAAACAACTACCGGGAGCTCCTGGAGGCCTACCCAACAAATCAATACATGCACCTGGCACAGACACTGTCAGGCAGCAGACGACTTCTAGATGGCCTACAGAGTGGGCATGGATTACACACAGAGGAGCGGGTACGAGTGCCCGAACATTGGAAATACGCGGTGCATGTTCGACCAATCTCCATCAATATATCCCGTGAGTCACGCGCTAGCCATCGAGAGGCACGGGCTCTTGCTTTCCCTCGACAGTTCGGCTCTAAACCACGTATTTTACACGCACTTCGGCGGCCCTTACCGTGAGGGTCGGTATACGGCCGCCGTGGTGCATCAAGACCGGCAAGTGGATGTGCTGTCTTTTCACGCACCCAATGGTACTCATACCTGAAGAGGTGGTCATAGCTCTGACTATATCACACGACAGTTCTCAAATTATAATATCAGACTCTAAAGAAGCTTGTCGAAATATTAAACTGGAATGAATCTCACTCCTAGCTGCCAAAAATCCTAAATCTTGTCTGCGAGTAGGTTACCCCTCTCTGTGCTCAGTAATCTGAACTTCTGGCCTTCAGAACCTGGCAGGAAATGAGTCGACGCGTTCTGCCACCCGCTCACTCATTTCCCGGGCCACTGCCTCACCCTCCGATGACCTCTGAGATCCAGAAGAGAACGTTCCTCCCCTAACTTATATGACCCATTACCAGCGACTCCCACCGCCGCTTTCCTCCACACTACAAAGAGCCCAGGAAGGTGGACGAGAGAATTCTTCTCCATCCATTCACCAATACGCTACTGTGCCCGGCAGTGCTCCGACATTTTGGCCCTTCCTTTCCCGGCCTCTGCCAGTAATGTGCGGACTGTGACTGAAACTTACGACGTGGTATCGGCATGCCAGCTCAATCCTTCTTGACCCTCGAACCCGAACCCAACCAGAGGGCACTGGGAGGCAGCCCTGCTCAGTTTCCAGAACCTTCTGGTTCAACAAGCTATAGTCCAGCGTGCCAGGACAGCGGCCACGACCGATGGTGTCCCTGACCAGGGACTCCACTTATACTGTAGGAAAGCTGACCTACTAGAAGTTAGTTTCTCTAGGAAGCCTCTCTCTAAGTTTTTTTATTATATAAATGCTTACCACCACCGCCACAGCGCAGCGGGACGCGTATAGCGTCTTTCAGGTTCCAAAAGCAGCGGCGCGGAACTGGTGGTCACTGAGCCTGCTGCTGAAACGATGGACTCTGAGGCAGTGCCTGCAAAGCGTCACCTTGATGAAGCGGTTACTGTGTTGCAGGGGCAGCGTCTGAGGCAAAGGAAGCAGCTTTTGGTGTTGTTGCGAAGAATAATGCGTGCAATTGTGCTCGCGTGTGTGCACCATCCCTATCAAGGGGCGATGTAGATGATAACTTCCAGCCGCCACCATGGCGTCTGAGCAGGGAGTCAATTTGTTTGATGAGGGCATCCTTGCTGTTTGTCTCGGCCAGCGTCAGAACCATGTCATTGCAAAGGTCTTCGCGCATCGAGATTGGCAACTAAAAGGAGACAAAACTAGTTGTATCGTATTGTGACAGAAAATGCACTTGATATACCAGCAGTTCAGGCAACAAAAGTTGAGCACGTCGACAGTACCGATGACATGGTTCGCGCGTTCTCGGCGCAGTACAATGTATGTGTGAGTCATCCAGTTGGTTTGTCCGGAGGGTGCCTACTTTTCATTAGTAACACTCTGAGAATTGTCATACAGACCGTTGTAAGCTGTGATTCGGGCCGCTTCGTGATTTGCGACTTTATACTCACTGGCAGCGAATGGAGAGTAGTGTGTCTGCGCGCTCCAAACGACGAGGTGCAACGCCTAGAATTTTTCTGTCGAATATGTTATTATTGCCACACTGAACGCCTTCTCATCATCCTAAGAGATTTTATTTGTGTTTGTACGGCTCAAGACGAAACGAGTAATACCCCTTATTGAGAAGCGAGTACGATTAAGTTAGCAGACATTATAAATTATTACGCTTAAGAGGATGTCTCGGAATGTATTTCTAGTGGTCACGGCGTCCGATTCACAGCATATTTAGGGGCGTAGTCATGCTCGCTTTCATCGAGCCTATGTGTCGCTTGATATTGTACCGCTAAATAGAGATCACTGTGTAAATCCTTTTCATTCACTGACCATTGTTTGGCAATGCTCACAATAGGCTGCATAAAAGAAAGAAAAAGAAAGCTCAATGGGGATTAATGAAAGCTGAATTAGAAACTCCTAGACGATGAGGTTTTCAAAACTATAGTATTAGAGGGTATGGAAGACCTCAATGGTGACAACAGCTCTGAAGCTTGACACTTGTGGAAAAGTTTAAACAAAAAATAAAAATGAAGAAAAAAGGTGCACCAATTCTGAAGCTTGGCGGACGCAATAATGAGCAGATTTTGCGTTTGCACTTGAGAACACTTGCTCAATGAAGAGACCGAAATGCCTGGCGAGTTCAATCAAAATATTCATGTGGTAAAAGAAAGATTGGAGCTTCTAGATAAAGAGAGATATCATAGGGCAATAGTTAGGACACGAGCGGAAAAATGGCAACTGCTGAGACATCCACCAAACGCGCTCTGTGTATGGAAAAGGGTTACACGCAATATAATTCAATAACAGAAATAGTGTAGAACGGCGCGCTAACAAAGACTGAGGAAGACACCGCGCACAGTTTTCAGGAGCACTATTGCAAGCTTTCTTCGATGGGCGCTGTAGGTCGGGATCACTTCACGAGTGAATTCTTGTCAATGATGCCGCAATTAGACGGTGAAACTGAACGATAGGTTGGAACTATCAATCTCTGTGAGAGAAGTAGAGAGAGCAATCAGTGACAAACTAAACTGCGGGGAATCCCCAGGTCTGGATGGCCTAAGTGCTGCTTCCTACAAGATGTTTAAGCAGGAATATTCTGTTATTTTGGCATATCTTTTAACGAAGCTTTGAAAATGAATGCCTCCCTCCATCATTTCTGTCCTGTCATACTATTTTGATACATAAAAGAAATCATTCAAGCTAACTCATACAGGTCTCAGCCTACTGGCCGATCAGTCTGACCAATGTCAGCTACAAGATCCCGATAAACACTATGGCTGGTAGGTTGCAGAGTATAATGAAAGAAATAGTAGGCCCACATCAAACATGCGGAATAAAAGTAAGAGGCATCGTTACGAATATTCAGATTTACTTGCAGAAAGTCTTCAATCGCGCGCCTCACGATTTGCTTACAGTCGTATTAGAACATGTTAACATCGGTGCAGTAATAAATGAAGCCGTTAAGATGGCATACACGGAATGTACTACTCGTATGATTGTTTACAAAGAATTAGGTACATAGACAGGGCTGCAGCAATCCGTGCGCCAAGAATGCCCGCTCTCTCCTCTCCTTTTTTTGCATTCACATTGAAAGCATCTGCCTAGTATAGTATGCAGCAACATTAATAAAAGGTTCCAGTTTCAAGCATGTAAAATGCGTCTGCGGGCGTATGAGGGAGACATAGCTCTTTTTGTACAAACTTTTAAAGTATCGCAGAGGCAGTTAACTTAGCAAAACGTTTCTAAGAGGTTAGTGGAAGTGCAGTTAAATGGGCACAGTGTCTTCGTTTTTGGCATGAAAATTGGAAACTAACACCAAACTACTTTATAAACGTTCAATGAATGCCCCACCTGTAAAATACTTGGCCGTACCGTTGGAAAACGTACAGTGACGCTTATACTTACTGGTGCAGGCAGGCAGTTGAAATCCGTGAAAAGGCAGAAAAATGCAAGTGGGGGATTTATCTATTTTTGCTTGCACGATCATTTTTGACCTGTTCTTCATTACGAGAATGTGTTATGTTTTGCAAGTATTTCACTGCTTTCGAACGAATGTGAAGAAGATTCATCGTATTTTTACGCATTTATATGGGTATCTACGTGGTAGAAAACAAACCGGGCGAACATGCTTCAGCGTGTGCGTGATGGCGGTTTGAGTTTGTCGCACCTATTTTTGCGACAGGTTGTAAACCGTTTCTTGTGCCTTCGCGATGTTAAGTACCTTTTTCGCGCATTGTATGTCAAATGCGATTGGCTAGTGCTTTGTCTGAGTTTGTAGTGTCTTGTGTTAGATTGTAACGAAGAACACAAGGCTACTTCAAGGAAATCATCGAGTCCTTTCGCTTCCTACAGACACGTTTTTCTTTTGAACATTTAAGCACGGTTTCTCCTAAATATTGTGTAAAAAGTAATGCGATGTGGTTTTTTCAGTTGCCCGCATACTGTACTCTGCTGGAACATGAAGCAAAGTGTTTAAGCTCGTTAAACGAATGCCTGTGTGTCAGGGAGTTAAAACATTCTTCTTTGGGCTTCGTTGCGTTGTCTTGTCAATTAAGACATGAATTTCTGACCATTGTTTATTTGTTCGGTGGGATAATCACTGATTTTTGTGTCAGAAGCCCGAAACAATTGAGCATGTTTTCCTTGAATGTTGGGACGCGGTTTCCTTTTGGGAAGTCCTACAAAGGGCATTAAAGAAAGATTTCCCGCTGGACGAACAGAGAATGAGGTACCTATTCATTGATAGTGAAAATGTATTTCCGTATAGCACAAGCATGTTTCATCTGTGCATAGTATGTGGAGGCCGCGCATGGCTATAGGTCAAGCAGATGAAGATGCTCGAGGAGTTACAGAATACTTTCGAGAGTCCATAACATTGTTTCTGGAACTACAAAAAATGCAAAACAATATGCCCGATTGGGTTCCGCGTATGGAATCACTATTGTACATGAAAGGATTCTTCAAAATTTGTTTTGTTGAAAATTGATGAAGAGATGCAATAATGAAAAAACAAGCTCCTCGGTGGCTCAATAGTTAACGCCTGACACTCACAATTTAGAACACCTAAGTTCGATTCTCACTCGGGAGTCATTTTCAGTTTTCTTTTTTTTTTTGTTTCCTGCATTTTCATGTACACAGATACGTATACATATACGGTGAGTGACTCCAACGTCGACGCCGACGCCGGTGGCAAAATACAGTCGAGAGTATCCATACAATTGCTATCGCAATAAAAAAAATTAGCCCACTCCTGCCTCCGCACTTGACACCTGTAACTAGCAAGCCCACGCTTCCAACGGCTCCCAAACGCGTTATTCCAATATTTTTCTCGCACTCTCCTATATTCATTTTCCTATATTATAGAACCATTAGTCAATAAAATAGCCTTTCTAATACAAGTTATCACACTGCACAGTAGTGTTCCTGGTCCTTAATAGTTGTGTCATTGCTACTACTCCATGATTGTAGTTTATTTTGTGTTTCTTGACCATTATGCATCGACCATGAGTCCGTATATTGATGAATCAGTAAGTCAAACAAATTCATGAAAAGGTGATGAATTGGCGTCTTTCAGGAAAGACGCACCTGACTTACCGCATGGCTTCAAGCTACTCACCGGCATATACAATTGCCATTCTTCGTTTTGATATATTTGGTGCCAGACATCCGTGATACCAGTTCTTGTGAAGTAAACAACCAGGCACTCTCCCCCATCCTTGAGAAGCCGACTGATGTTACGGTAAACTTTTGGCAAGTCCCAAATATAATGAAAAGTCAAGAAGGAGTAGAGGCGGTCAAATAGTCCGTACATATTGATTATGAAATGAACATCTCCTTTCTCGATGTCCAAAACCTCAAAGTTTACTTTGGGCTTCTTGTGGTGCTCTTGAGCGTATTGAATCATGTCTTCAGATATATCTGTTGAGACAACGCGTGCGAATGGATGGAGACGTGGCAGCAGCCTTTCTGCGAGGAAGTTGCCTGGTCCGCAACCGACATCTAAATATTGATATTCTTTTGTCGCTGACTTAAGGAACTTCACCAGGTTTAAAGATGTCAGGTTCTCCTTGTAGGACAACTCTTTCAGCCACGTGAATGATTCAGGGTCTAGGTCAGCTGTTGCGTGCCTCAAATCTGGCCCTCGAATGTCTTCCATGACGGCCATACGCGTACCGGTTCGGGCTGTTCCTGAACGTTCCGAGCAAGCCCTGCAAAAATGCAAACGGACGGCACAACTATGAGTTCATATAGGCATGCATTTGGTTCATGTCCTCATTAGGATACGGGTGTACATTCTATGAATGATTGTAGAAAATACGCCAGTAAAAATTAAGTTTCACTGCAAAGCCCAAGCAATGAAAGCGACAGCAAGAAATTAGCATGCCACACGAATAACATCAAGCAGACAGATTCATAAAGCGCACCGCTAAAGCAGAAAGTACGCCTGAAAAGAACGCACAGGTATACATAGGACATGAGTGAGTTAACAGCTGCCACAACAGCCACGTCTTTGTCTTCGAGCGACGTGCTACAAGTGGCGATAACGCAGAACAGGTGTTACCAGAACCCGATATGATATGGTACGGTATGGAGAACACCTGAACCCGGTGTGCCAAAATATTTTTTTCTCGATTTAACTTGAGCGCGTAGAGTGAAGCATTCGCGTCTCCTGAAGACGCTGTGGCAGTCTGCCACAAAGTGTGCCCAGTGCTCCGCCTCTTTTATTTATTTATTTATGATATCCTTACAAGCTCAATGAGAGCATTGTGTAAGGGGGGTACAAACTTCAAAGAGTAATAGGGCGGTCATCAATAACATGGAATACACAGAAAATAGCACAACATCGTGACAAAGCGTGTCAAGTCACTGACACTCAAACAAATGTAATACGCGAATGTTGACCGATATGCAGAAAGCTTGAATAACAAGAAATTCAAGGTACATGAACAAAACACAATAAAGAAATTCGGAAAGCGTAGGTATAGAATTCAAGTGAGCAGCAACGGCGGTGCAACTGAGCAACGAAAACTGGGAGAATAACAAGAACTGGGAGAACAATGGCAATAACAAAAAAAATCAAAGAGAAATCGGAAGGCCGAGGTGTACAACGTACACTTTCCAAACACACATACTGCTAGCCGTATGAAGGCGTTTACTAATATAAATTGCAAGACAACGGTGGGTACAGCAAAAACTAAAGAGAACCAAAAAGAAGTGTGAAACTAGGTGAGTGGCACAGCTGCAGCTACAAACATCAGTGAAGTTAAAGCGATTAGTGCAATGAAAAATGATTACACACATGTTCGCGAAAATAATCTGGATCAGTGATGGAGGCGATGCAGTCGGGAAGATCGTTCCTTAATGATATGGCCTTAGGAAGCGCTGATAAGTTGAATGCCTTCGTTTTGTCATAAATGCGAGTGAAACTAAGGTGATTGTGCAGGCGTCTGGACATGCGCAATGGTGCTGTAAGGGGTAGCGTCGTAGAACGTCTTGTACTGTGAATATACTTATGCAGCAAACATAACAGTGCAACAGAGCGACGAACGTGCAATGACGAAATAGAATGTTCTTGTTTTAATGTTGTTACGCTGCAATGAGTGCTATAATTGCGAGATATAAACCGGGCTGCTGTGTTTTGTATGGACTCTCGCATTGTGGTTAGGTAATCTTGGAAAGCGGACCAGACAGAAGATGCAAATTTCAGCTGGGAGCGTACATAAGTGAAATAGGCCAGTTTACGGATGCTTGTCGGAGACTTTCGCAGATTACGACGGGGATAACCTAATGTTTCTAAGGCTTTCGCGCAGATAACACTAATGTGTGCCGACCATGAAAGATTGGGTGTTAGATTGACGCCTAAGTATGTGTAAGAAGAGCACTGCACTATTGTATCATTTTTAATAGAGTAGGAATAATTGGTGTATTTTGTTTACGACTGAAGGTCATAGCACGGCACTTGGAAGAGTTAAGAGACATCTGCCACACGTCACACCAGTCACTAAATAGGTTAAGGTCTGTTTGAAAGGTAAGGTGGTCACCATCATTGTTAATAGCTCGATATATTATGCAATCGTCAGCGAATAGTCTTATATTGGAAGATATATTATTTGGCAAATCATTTATGTAGATGAGAAAAAATAGAGGTCAGAGAACACTACCCTGCGGAACACCCGAGATGACATCAGAGGAAGTAGAGGTGTAGTTATTAACCGTAGTGAATTGTTTTCGAAAGGAAAGAAAATTGCGGATCCACGAAAGGGTTAAGGAATCGAGTCTAAGTGCAGATAATTTAGATATTAGGCGGCAATGGGCAACGTGGTCAAAGGACTTTGAAAAATCGATGAATACGCAATCAGTTTGTTTGTTTTCATTCATATTGGAATGAAGATCCGTTGTTAATTCAAACAATTGGGTGTCACACGAGAAGTCTTTCCGAAAACCATGCTGGTGAGGAAAAAAGAAATTATTTGATTCGACGTGGCGGCGAACATGGGAAGCGATAATATGCTCCAGGAATTTGCAGCAAATTCACGTACGCGAGATGGGTCTATAATTATCAGGTGAGTGTTTACCTCCACTTTTATAAACGGGAACCACTTTACCCATGTGCCAAGCATCTGAAGTTGACCAGACATCAAGGACTGTTGAAAGATGGGAAGTTAGAATTTGCTCGATACGATTTTCTGTTCTTTAGTATTTTTGTGTTAATGTTGTCGGGCCCCGATGAAGTAGATTGTTGAAGTTGGTCAATGAGGGATGCAATACCTTCGACTGTAAGAACTATTGGCAGCATAAACGCCCAGTCGTAATCTGCGATGAATGGTATGTTGGAATGGTCTTCTCCTGTGTATACTGAAGAAAAGAACCTGTTAATTGCGAATGAACACTCACTATCTGAGAGGGGTTTGTCGTCATCACCACGTAACGAGATATGCTGGCGGTCGGTTCCTGGGGTTCACGACTGCCAAAACTTCCAACGGTTTGATTTCAAAAGAGACAGGAGATCATGGGAAAATATTTGTCTTTCGCATCCTTAATTGCAGAGCAGTAGCTCGCCACACACTCGTCGTACTTTTTCCATGCAGCTTCAGTTTGCCAAGTTTAGGCGTTTTTGTACAACCACTTTTTTTTTGTTTCTGAGCCGACGGAGTGACATAGTGAACCACGGGTTCAACCTGTCATTCGTTATGGTAACTATGGGAACAAACTTATCGACCAGCCTGCAAACCTTGTCCTGGAAGATACACCAGTTTTCGTTTACGGTGCGAGTATCGAACAAGGGCATCATCCCTTCAACAAGGAATACTTCAAGGTCTGAGTTAATTGCTGCGTAATCGGCCTTGTTATAATCTCGCATAATTTTTCTATCTTTACCTGTGTGGCTAAATGGCACTTGTATAGGAAAAGGGAGTAACTTGTGGTCACTTAAATCGTCCCGATAAGTGATTGGCCCGATAGCTTCAGGAGCATTACTTAAAATTAGATCTAATAAATTATATCCACGTGTAGGTGCGTCAACAGTTTGGAAAAAGTTTAAATTCAGAGTTAAATTTAAAAATTCTACAGAAGCATGACTAGGTGAAGAGAGCGACGGCCAATCAACATCGGGAAAGTTAAAGTCGCTGAGGAGGTAAACGTTTTCACTCTGATAGCTTTGCACAGCGGCCGCTATACTCTTTCTGAGTTCATCGCTAAAGGAAGGACCTGTGTCGGGTGGCCGGTAGCAAGCGCCTATCAGTATTTCTGATGAAGCGGAAAAGCAGGCAGCCCAAACTATTCTGAGGGGTGAGTGAGTATCCATGAGAAACGACGACCGTGTATTCTTTATCGCGATCAAACACCACCCCCCTTTCGTTCAGAACGGTCTCACCGATAAATACTGATAATATTCACGCCCGAAAAGAGTTATGCATCGAGAATATTTGGGTGAAGCCTAGTCTCAGTAAGGACAGCAATGTCCGTATTGCTATCGTCCAAGATAGAGGAGATATTTTCACATTTCGGCAGCAGGCTACAGATGTTAGTCAACGTCACTGTTAGTGGTCGTACCAAGGTCGAGAAACGGGACCATTGTTGCTTAGGAAGTTTATTTTTTGCCTGCTTTCTTATTTAGCTACCCTTGAGAAAGAACAACCGATTTTGTAGAGCTGTCATAAACGTACGTCTTGCCATTCATTTCGAACCTGTCTACTCGCAGTTTAAATGTCTGCTTGCTTGGTTTCGCAAACTCGATCAACTTTTTCCGCGCTTCGCGGGTTGCAACAGAAAAATCCTGACTAATAAAGTAGTCTGTATCTTTGGTTTTCTTGATAATGCTTGTATGATTTGTTTGTCTTTAAACAGAACGAATTTAGCAATTATTGGTCGGCACTTGTCTGGAGAAAACCGGCCAAGGCGGTGGACGCGTTCAAACTGCTGGCTTGTAAGGGTGATTTGAAGACTTTCTTCGCAAAATTCAATTAGTTTTTTCTCTGAAGCTTCCCAATCTTCATTAACGTCATCTTCGATACCGAAAAACACAACATTCGAGCGGCGCATCCTATTTTCTGCACTATCGCATCGGGATGTAATGTGCTGCAGTTGGTCATTTACACACTGTAAGTTATTCTCAGGCAAGCTGATTTCACCCGGACTGCGGGATGCTTCCAAGGATGCAACTCTATCATTCAGTTGTTTAATTTGAGCGTCAGTTTCGGCCTGCTTTTCCTTAACCCCGTTGAGCTCCGTCAATATTGTCGCTTGTCCCGCTTTCAGCCCACGCACGCTTTATGTCCGCTAGAATCTTATCATTGGTGTTGGGCTCGAACTTCGTGCGTTCCCCGAATACCTTAGCTTACCCACCCCGCGGCCGGCGACCCCTCGCCAACAAGGAAGCAGGGCCACCGGAATGCGCGACGATGACTGTCTGCTGGCCACAAAGAACGCGACAACTCCCGTGCTGCTGTCGGGCTCAATTATGGCGCCTTACAGGAGACCAAGCCAGGCTGCAGGTGGCCGGTACACGTGGAAGGTACACGTGGAACGTACACGTGGAAGGTACACGTACGCGTCCGCTGGACAATCAAAATCAGCGGAGGCGACAGCATTGGCGCACGGGCCAATTCTATTGATGGCCTGTCAACCCGGCATCGCGGGAACTTACTCGGAGGCGCTTTTCCACGACCTGGCAACGCCCGTCGTCGACCATTCCGGAAACCGGTGTGAA